TCCAGGGGCAGCAGGCATCTGTCCCCACCTGTCCTGGCCTGTCCAAATCAACCAGCTGCCCCCTCTCGGCACAAACCCGGAGGACTCCACCGCACACCCTCCTTCTTTCTACCATGTCCCGGGGAGAGATAAAAATAGAAACAGGGCCTGGAGAAATGGAAACAAGAGAGCGAGTTTCTGGACCGACTGGACTTTAGGTGCTGCCAGGGAAAGAACTGTGACTTTTCTATAAAATCAGTGTTGCTCACAAACACCCCGGTGTCCCCCACAGGAAAGGTGTATCCTTGCTAACTTCCTGTCACCACCGATGGCGGAGGGTGAGGTGGCCGCCCAGCCATCTCGCTCCACCAACCCCATCGCTCCTAAGTCTCAGCTAGAGACTAGCCGCACTCCAGAATGGAAGTTATCTATTTGAAAGGGCTAAACACGGAGGTGTCAGCACGTACGTGGTCTCCTCCGAGAAATGGTTCAAACTAGTTCAACAGTCAAGAAACCACTACATCCAAGCAGGGGTGGGGACACTCGAATTAGGAGAAACCACCAGTAGTACCTTCCAGCCACAGGAGCAAATAGACAGCTGAGGGCTTAAACCTAACAATTGAATCTAATAGTTGTAGCTTTAACTAGCCATCCACCAGAGTAAAGTCTTTTACTAACAAAGCTTACCCTTTGAAAATAATTAATAGATGTCAAACATTAAGTAAAATATCAATACTTACACCAGAGTTCTTGCCTTTTATCATTCAAGTTTAAACCATTTATGGGATACCTTCAAAGTCCAATGACAAACTTTAAATTTTTAAATTTTTTTAATTGAAGGATAGGTGATTAGCAGATACAAACTACTGTCTACAAAGTAGATAAACAACAAGGTCTTACTGTTATTTTTATTTTTAATAAAATTTAATAAATAAATTTTTATTTTTAATAAAAATATTTTTATTTTAATAAATAATTTATAACTTATAATTAATTTTATAATTTTGCTCATTATAAAAATAATACCTGTTCAGAATAGAAAATTTGGAAAAGAGAAAGAAATTTTTTAAAGTTTAGTAAAATCACTGTTAACCTCACCACCCAGAAATATACCCTCCATATATACTGTACTTTCTTCCAGTCTTTTTTTCTACAGACATAAGCACGTGGTGTCCATGTGCTCATGTGTTTTATAGTTTACAACGTATTGTAATTTTGCAGAGGCCTGAATTTCAATCCTGCCCCTGGGAGATTCGATTAAATGGGAAGAGCTCAGTTAGACCCAGAGTGTGCACCTTGGCAGAGCCTCGCTTCCTGTGGTGTCATGCATGGTGACACTCATGACTGCATTTTATAGCAGAAATCACATGCCACCGCGGTGCCTGGGTGTCGCGCAGGTCTCAGAACACACCTCCCACACATGCCTAGGGCCGAGTGTACTTTGGGTTGAGTGTTTTTTTCTGCTTGGATCATGGGCTATTTTTTTCCATTTATGTCACAGTAACACGGAAGTACATGGGTGCCTCATAAATCTTCCGTGCTGTTTGCTATAAAGAACGAGTGTCGAGGCACCAAACTGTATAAACACAGCTGGTGTGCAGTCAAGCTATTTAGATAACCAGTCTGTTTATTTTGTTCTCTCATAGTCCATCCTATAATAGTACCTAGTACACAGTAAAATGCTTAATGAAAGGTGAGTATTATTAACTGTGACTCTGAAATAATTTCTTCAGGCCCAAAAGAAAAGTGCCACCAGTATAGTGGAAAACTACTCAATTATACTATGCAAAGCGCATATGGGGAGAAAAAAAATTAAATCTCTGAAGAACTACTTGATAGTTCTCAGGTGCCTGCTTCCCAGGCAGCCTGGCTCAGCAGCGACACCGTGTGGTGAGAGGTCTCGCAATCCCACCAGCACAGAGCACTTCACAGGCAGCACAAAGCACACCGGCATCTTATCCATAAAGCAGGTGAGAAATCTAAGGATGGGCCGAGTGTAACAGGTGATGGAAGGCTGGGATCCTTTCCATGTCACTTAACCCCATGGGGAGCGACGACGTCTACGAAGAAGGCTCAGGAAGGAAAACCAAAGTACCATCCAGTTCTACCCCCAATCTGCCATCCGTATCTTTAACATTGAGCCACCAGCACAATGACTGGGTAGGTGTCCCGAAATGTCTGCACCTCGGCATCAGAAGAGGCGCCCGAGGAATCTCTCGGCTGCCTCCAGGAAGTCAGGGAGCAGCCACCTTCACATTCATCTGCACAGTAACCCTTCATAGATCTTGTATTGCAGGAAAACACACTCTAAAACCCTGAATTCCTACGTTTCCTCCTACAGCAGATTCAAGGTCTTCCCGAGAGGAGCTAATAAACACTGAAAAATGAGGATATATATACACTCACTCTCAGTTCCTTGGGCTCCCAAAGTAAAACACTGAAAAATGAGGATATATATACACTCACTCTCAGTTCCTTGGGCTCCCAAAGTAAAACAGACTTCAGAGAGAAGCAGTTGGGAGGGAAAAGTAGGGCAAGATCAACCAGACCAAGTGGAGGACCCGAAATGAGAAGTGAACACTTCTGAAAATTACTCTTTCCCAAAGCTATTATGTAATAAAGAGCTTGGTCGGCTTGGGGTCCGTATAGCGTGCTTGTGTATGTGTATTTAGGACAGCTATTTGGGGGAAAGGAGGGTATAGCTCAGTGGTAGAGCGTATATGCCTGGGTTCAGTCCCCAGTACCGCCACCAAAAGTAATCAATAAATAATCAATAAATAGATAAACCTAATTACCTACTCCCCCAAAAACAAATTTTTTTTAATCTAAAGAAGAAAAAAACAGATCCTCGGGCAGGAAAAAACACATATTTACTTTAATGTTATTCAAGCTTTGCACTCCCGTGATTTGTGAATGGGGGTTACTAATCAGTAGATGAAAACGTATCCCCTCCCACCCCCAGGCAGTTTAAAGAACCAGAAGGACAAAAATATGAAGCATCTACCGTGTATTTTAATATACACAGACACACAATACAAAGCCCTCGGTACTATTTCAGGTCACGCCCATCAAACAGAAGACACAAGAAAAGCTGAGCGTCCCAAACTTCTGCTCACAGGAGAATAACACGAGAGCAGGTCACTCTGTCCTTTCCATTGCTGCGTCCAGGAGTCAAGAGGCACTAGTCCCAAAACTAGCACAGACAAGAACTCCCAGGAAAGGTCAAGGAGCACTGCCAGGGGCAAGCCTGGGTCTGACTTGCTCCCTGACCTTGGGGCAGGCAGGCATGCCCTCACCCGTCCAGCCTCAGCCCTCCACACTCAGGAAAAGAAGGAGAGAGAAGGTCTGGGAGAGTGACAACCACATCCCCTGGGACCAGAAACCCTCACTCTTAAGGCTCTGCCCCCATTTCTCCAAGGGGGGAGGTCTATGAGCATTGAAGCTCTGAGGACCAGATTTATTTTGACACTTTTTTATATAAGACACAAGATGGAGGTTATGTTTCTCCTTCTATTAACTTAACACATAAAACAGAGATAAATGATGTGGAGCTTTGAGTCCTGAGATCAGGGTGCAAACAAAAGTCATACCATTAATTCCCAAGAGCACCCATTAAGAAGAGGGCACACTGGTTAAAAAAATGTAATGAAAATGCAATGAATGTTTCTTAAGTGGAAAAAAATCATCCATTACTACAGTTTTAATTTTTTTAATTAAAAACATTACTTAGGGGGAGGTTATAGCTCAGTGGTAGAGCACATGCGTAGCTTGCACAAGGTCCTGGGTTCAATCCCCAGTACCTCCATTAAAGATAAATAAACAAATAAATATCTAATTACCTCTCCTCTAAAAATATAAAAAACAAAACTAAAAACATTACTTAATCTTTTTAAACTAGGCACCAGGCACCTATTAGACACATTACACACTTTTAACGTCCTCAACCTCTGAACAACTGTAATAACAACATAATAGTAATGATAACTGCACTGAGGTTTAAATAACACAATTTGCACAGAAATTCCACATACAAGTGAACCTATAAGGAGGTATCCTAATCCTAAATGCCCTCAGATTTTATATCTGTTCCCCAAGGGAGCCCATCCTGCTCAGACAGCTCACGGCTCTACTCTCCTCTGAAAAGTCAGCTGCCAAGGGACAGAGGATGACCCAAAAAGGAATCCCTTCTCTTTAAAAAAAAAAAAATGTTGGGATAAGAGGTGTGCTTTGTTCCTTTCAAGGGAAAGCAGGTAAGTTTGGTGTTTAGAGTCACCTGGACTGTCAGGTATTTGCTGAAACTATACACTTATGTCACTAAACTCACAAATTTCTCTGTTTAGGGGAGACAACAGAGAGAGACCCACACAGTAACTTGCCACAATTAATAAGAAATTGACAGTTTGGCAAAGCAAAGAGATTATCGAGAAGACACACCTGGAGAAACTGACAACCGGCCCAGCCAGGTAAGAACCAAAGACACCAAAGGCAGAAGGCAGTCAGGGGAGTCCCTGACCACGCTCCCAACTGCGTGGTGTCTTCCTTTCGGGCAAAACTAAAAGATAGAAACTGGACAGGGAAAAAAGAGCCCTTTTTGCCACAAGATGGCAGGCGTTAGCACAAATGAAACAAAAGCTGTGATCTTCCCATCCAAAGATTCGCTGAGAAAGGCCCAAATCAAAACAAAGATTTTTAATTCCAACAGAATAAACTGTGGTTTCCAAATACACTCCTGTCACATAAAACAGTATCCTTTTCCCCCTCAAATGGAAAAGGGCCATAACTTTAAGACTTAACACCCTCTAAACTCCAAGAGTCTTCTCTCCCTCCCTTACGTAAAACACCAAAAAAATTAGTTATACTTGGACAACTTTAAGATGGTTTCCAAACCTGAGGTCAAAACAGAAATAGAAAATCAAAATGGAAATCAAAACCGAAACCCACTGCAACAGAGTGATCGGGGAAAGGGTCCCCGTATTGAAGGAGGGCATCTGAGGTGCCCCCTCCCTCGCCAGCACACTCACCTCAGCCACTGACAGTAAGTAAATAGGTGTTAAGGCAGGAACTTGTTTTAAGTCACAGCTTAGGCCCAGCGTCGTCAGGATCTCCTTAAGGACCTCATATCTTCTGCTATTGTTCGATTTGAGCAGATCAAAATCCTCTTGAGTTTGCACTATTGGAGAGCTGGGGGGTAGCTCCAAGTGCACCTGAGGGGAAAAGACACCACTTCATAAATCGGAGGCAGTCAGAGACATTATGAAAAACAGTGTCCACCGGGAACTATATTCAGTACCTTGTAATAGCCTATAATGAAAAAGAATATGAAAAAGAATATATATATGTATGACTGCATCACTATGCTATACACTAGAAATTAACACAACACTGTAAACCAACTCTACTTCAATAAAAAGAAAGAAAGAAAAACAGTGTCTATCCGTTTTTCTAAAAACTTGAACATGAGTCGTCCTCATTACCAATAGTATGTAAATTTTGACCTTAAATATTTGGAAAGTAGCAACAACCAATAAAAAGATTCAAGGAAGCCCATTAAAAACGTGGCTGTGAGGCTGAAAGGGTATGGTAGAAATGACCCTGGATAGTAATCAACTTTTCAAGTCCCAAATTTTATCACTAACTAGTCACGGGACCTTAGGCAAGTCACTAAACTTGGTTACACGAGCAAACAGTTAAGAATATGATTGTGCTGAGAACCCAACGCCACCTGCTCCTAAGCTCAGGGAGGCACAGTGGGTCATGCTTGAAGCTCTTAGCCTACCAATAGCCTAACGACTGGGAAACCATATGGGGACAGCAGTGGCCTTAGACATCACTTTAACAGTGTTTGCAGGAATTCAAATAGATGAGGGGGGTGTGGGGGCTCCAAAAAGTCTTACCCCTCCCCCTCCTTCACCTGATAAGACTTGGAACTTCATGTATTTATATTTAGTTCAGGCTTTGTTGTAGTTAAAACTAAAGTAGCGCCCCCTCTCAGCAGTCTGTGTCTTGGTGTGAAAGAACATACCGGAACTTCTAGCTCCCCTGCACAAGAACCTTCCTATCAATGGTCTGTGTCTTGGTGTGAAGGAATGTACTAGAACTTCAGCTCTCTTGAGATCAGATTTGAACCGGGCATGAGAGCCTGGAGGATGCCGGAATACTGAGTAACTAGAAGAGACTGAGCACGTTAATTTTATTTTCCTTTGTTTCTGCAGGGGGTTAGCTGTGGGATTCTACTGCACGCAGAGCCCGGCCGGGCCTGATGCCGCAAGAGCATTATAAAGTAGAAAGCATAGTGCCAGCCTTTGGGCAACTTAAAATCTCTCAAATCCCACTCAAGCCTTGTCCAAACCAAAAATACTACCCAGACAGGGTCCAAAGCAATCCCATTGTTGAAAGTTGAAGCCAATCTGAAAAGGTTTGTGGAGGACTAGCCAACAGAGAGCCCGTGCTCCAGCCGCTCAGTGGAGGGCTGCCTGCTTCCCCTACGACTGTCAGCCAGAAGCAGCAGGGAAATCTGTCCTCTAAACAGCCCTAGAAAAGGAAGCAGGCAGAAAAGTGAGATCCTTTAAGGTATCTGAATCCTACTGAGTCCCCTTCTCCTACACGTTCTTACCCAAAATGTGTGCCTCTCCCTCCAGTGGACAAAGCCAGTGCTGGTACAGTCCATCAGCACAGGGTGGGTCACGTTAAATTCACGTGAGCATGGAACTGTCCCGGAGGTTACCTCCTACAGGTAGCAGAAATCAAATGAGTGAGCTTCTGTCCCCACCTGGGCCCAAGAAGCAGAGGCGAGCGTGGTGCATGGCACATGAACTTCCTGGGCTGAGCGAGTACAGAGGGGGACTGAAGTCACTGTCACATTTGAGAGATGCAGGGGAGAAAAAGGAGGGCTCGCCCTAAGAGCAGGCCTCTGGGGTTCCAGGAGGTGAGGGAAAGGACAGCGCTGACACTGTGTGCGCGTGCTATCGCCAGTCTCAAGATCAGGTGCCTGTACAACAGAAGTGAGAAGGGAGGCCACATCTGCCTTTGCAGCTCAGGCAGGCAGGGCACAACGGAGCGTGCGCGTGCTGGACCCGCCCCCTGGGCCTCTGTGGCACCCGACCCACGTCTCATCCTTGGGCTGTAATGCTGTTACCGTAGTGACGGGCCCATTTCTGTAACTTGGCTTTTAGACCAGACCAAAAGCCGGAACTAAAAGTGTCCCCAGTCACAAAGAGGGAGAGGAGGGCACTGCTGGCATCTGGCATGTAGTGCTGTCCACACCCGGTAAGGTGCGGGACGACCCCACAACAAAGCAGAATCCAGCCCAAAATGTCAGTGGTGCCTGGTTGAGAAAACGGGCTACAAAAGCAGAACCTCTTCTGCCATGTGCTAAGCTAAATAAGAAAACAAAATATTTCAAATCCATTTCAGAGGCTCTATTTGGACAACTCCATGCCAAACTCCTGGTCCATTTGATCATCAAATGTCAGCATGAATCCACCACCTTAAATTTCCCCTGCAAACCTGACCGGTAGAGCAAGTACACCAAAACTTCCTTTTCCTGTATGAAGCTGCACGCCGAAGGGCCCCGCGTCAGCTCCTCGGCCGTGAGACCACCACTCACTGTGCAGCTGTGGCTTGCCCTTGAAGTACTTCGCCTCCTCTTACTGGGTTACATCATTACGCCATTTATGACAAAGATGAAGACTATGAAATTGAACAGGGAAGGAGGAAACTAACCAGCCTGTGCTAACGTTTATCGGTTGATCTCGGCGGCGAGGTACGGTAGTGACACAGGCCCAAGCAGAAAAGAGTGACCCTGTCACACAGAGACTGGAAGTCATTTAAAGTCAAAAATGACATTCTAATCCTCTGAATCTGAATTTTTGAAGCTGCATCAGATTGCCTTTTTTCCTAGGGCAACGCACGCAGTATCAAATTTTATGGCAGTGATGGGGTCAATTTAAATGGTGCAGCAAGCAGATTTGCTATGTAACTCAGAGAAATGGATCGCCAACAGTGCCGAATCAATTTTCTAGTACAAGTCTGTGCACAGGGGTGGCAAAATTCACTATCCAAAGCTGAAATATGGCTCTAGGAAGTCAGGTTTTTAAGTGGATTTTCTGAGAATGCACAGTTACTATAGTTACCATATTTGCCAAGAAAAAAGATAAGAGGAACATTTATTAGGCTTCCCAAAACTGTCATGTGGTTTGCAGTCCACATGAAGCCTGCTTGTTCATCTGTCCTGATGTCCAGATTTCTTAATTATATGCACCTGTGTCTGAGTATTATTTAAGAACATATGAGCAGGCTTTAGAACAGCAAAGAAACAAAGCTATGCCTCCTTGAAGAATGTTTGGTCAGAAAATCCAAGAGACAATTTCTAGGATGGCTAGAGAGAGGTACAGCTCATGAAATGAAAATAAATCACACCAAAAAAGAAAGAAAGAAAAGGAAAGGAAAGGAAACAATTCTCAAACTCAAAAAGATCCCAGTAACAAAACAAAATGTTACACTCAGCCTGGGAACCACTTTGGGCAAAATACCTGTATCTACTTGGTTTCTCATGAGACCATCAAATCCTTAAGGGTGAGCATTCGTCTAAAGACAAACACTTTTGCCCAAAGGCATTAAAAGATTTGCAGCAAATGATCGGAAGTTCTGAAGTGGTCTGTCTTGTTACTATTTGCTGAAACAAACAAAAAGCTAAAAGGAAAAAGAAGGTGGGAAAAAAAAACCCAGCACATGAGCCGAAGGAGCCCCTTCGGATGGGAAGGAAAGTAGCCTTTTCCTTTATTTCCTTTCCCGTTTTGTTTTTACCTGTGTATTAATTTGCCATAGATCTAAATCGCTTCAGTATCCTCTTACTTGAGATATTTTTCTCAGCACTTAGATTTTAAAGAGTGACAAATCATAAAGGAATTGAGGGCTTGAAGATGTTTTCCATTCTCATTACCCCACAGTGGCTGAGCGTCCACCCAAATCCCCAACATCAACTACAATATTTAAACGTGACAGTTACTAATGTTTGCAAACACCACCCCAAGGCACTCAATTCCCTACATTAAATAACAGTTCAATTATATGAACTAGAGTGGGCTCGGAGGCAAGAGGGCAGACTAATGGATTTTAGAAAGATTATTACCGGTAGGTAGAGTGAAACAAGAGAGAAGTTTTGACTAATTCTTGGTTAACCAGCAATTTTTAATCAGCTGTTCTGCTTCGCTCCTCCTTCTCAAGTATTTTGGTGAAACAGGACAGTCATGCAACAGCAAAGCCCTGATCTCAACCTCAACCTTCCACTCACCAACAACAAACATTCCCGGCCAAAGGCCAGAAGCATCCACACCACACACACTCTCCAAACTTCCCACGTACAGCCTTAAAGAGGGTATCCGGCCAAAGAGGCCCAAAGACCATTCTGTGGATACCAGCCTCCGTACCTGGCAAAGCACAGCTTCTCCTCCACGTGTTCCAAAAGGCACTTGCACAATCAGCCTGTCCTCATCCTCGCTGTCCAGGTGGCCCTGGAGCTTGCCCAGGCTGAGCAGCTGGTCAGGGCCCCCCTCGTAAACACCACCGCTGCTCAGGACGCTGAGCTTCACCCGGCTCTGGTCGGCCTTGCAGAACACCAGGCTCTGCACTGTGTCCTGCAGCGGGGCCTTGCTCATCACTCGGAAGCCGGCAAGTGTGAAGGATGAAGACAGACCCAGCACCTTCCCTCCCTGAGAAAGATAGGCCATGAACTTCCGGGACAGGTCCTCGGGGACTGGCTCCCTGGTGGCAATGACCAGCAACAGACAGTTGTCCGACCATGGGTCCCTGAGCGCACTTTCCGGGGACAGGTGGTAGAGAGTGTAACAGTCGGTGTCCACGCAGTCAGCCAGGGCCGACCGGACCAGCTGGAGCCTGCCCTGGGCGTCCTGGGAGTCGGAGCCCACATAGAGAAGGATGTTGGGTGCCTTTCCTGTGATGTTGACTCTCCTCCCTTCTCTCTCAAGGCTGAAGTCATCAGCGATCCCCTCCAAACCACTGCTATAATCGTAGGGAAGATCTGGAATGTTCTCTGCAGAGGCAAACTTGACGGATTCGATGGTGCTGTTCTCCAGCTCCAAACACTCGTGGCAGCTGGACAGATGGAGGTGACAGTGCTCAACAGAGCCCACTTCTCTGTCGCTCTCCCCAGCAGGCTCACCTCCAGGGGCACTGCCTTTCCCCTGTGTGGGTGCAGATCCAAGTACCTGTGAGTCACTTCTGCCCACGTGCTCCATAGCGTCTGGCTCAGGCTTACTCTCAACCGGAGACTCCCCGTTGGGCTGTAGGGTCCGGGCTTGAGCGTCTGAGGCCTGATCCTTAAGTTCCTTAAGAGCGGATTCCTGCAAGTGCACCGCTAAAGCGTGAACAGAAAAGACAGTCCATCAACTCTTCTGATTTGTCGCGCAGCTCGGTTCAAAACTTCAGGGCACTTTCTGCACTCCATGACTTACGTCCCAGGGCGGCCCGCTCACCGCCCACCCCACCCCTGCCTCCGCCCTCAACTCTGAGGCCTCCTTGAGAACCACATAACCCCCTCCTACCTGCTAGGTGACCTCCTACCTGATGACCCCAAGAGAAACTGTGAGTTTCCACAACACCTTTCCCATACGAGCCAGAAACCTCAGACCCACCTACTGACTGGTGAAGAAGTGAGATTCAGGGAGGTGATTTTGCCTACTTACTTACAGAACCAATTTCTTGGGTGTCAATCTCCTATATGATAACAAAACTAAGAAACAAAAAAGGCACATATCTAGAGTCTATCCATGCATGCCCCAGGAAAAAGGCACACTCTGGACACTTCATAGGATAAACCAAGGAGAAAGGTTTCCCCAGGGTCTTAGCTCAGGACTGGAATATAAGTTTACAATAACTGATGCAAAAACAATTTACTGAGCACCTGCCACACATCTGACATAGTAGTAGGCACATGCAGATGGCAAATGGGGAAATTAAGTGGTTTACACAAATTTCCAGAGTTGGCAACACTCACTGGCTCAAGATACAAATGAAGACTTTCTTGTAAGTCAACTATTCTTCAATAAAATAAAATTTTAAATATATATGTGCAAAAAACAACACTTACATGGACATAGAAAGCCTACTTTTAAGCCTAAATAAGGAAGAATATTCTGCGTATTTCCCAAGAAAAGACATGTCCCAAAATATTGTAGTATGTATATTTTAAGTAGAAAACTGTTAGATTTAGGACTCAATAGTGACACTGGCTATGCTTTCCATTTAACTGAACTATAGGTTAGAAATTAGTTACCCTATATTAAAATGTGTAAAATAAATATTATATAATTTCTAAATTTGCATGCCATCTCATGGACAATGCAACTGTGGGAAATCCTTGTTTAAAAATTTTAAAAGCACTAATGATATACGCAGGGATACGCAACTCAAAAAAACCCTGACACATACATGAATGTTATACTGTTATGGGTCCATCCACACTCTTGACTGAATTAAGCTGCAAAATAAGCTCTACCCTTAAGTCATACCAAACAGGGGGGCTCCACGGTCCTTAAGCTCATAACTATGGTATCCTGCTATGATAAAAACATTTCCTAAAGTTACTTACAGACGATCTTTTGGGGTATCAGCCCATTAGCCATCTGGAGTCTATCTTCCAGGAACGCCACCCCCAGCTTGCTGAAGTCATCCACACTTGCTCTGGCGATTAACTGATAAGGATCCCCAGGTCTGCAAGCTAATGGCAAACAACAGTCCGACCACTTTACAATCTGAGAAAAGGTGAGTGAGGGAGGAGGAAGAAAGACAGAGTGAGATTATTCTTCTCTAAAATAACCTGATACCTTACTTTTTCCCTTCTGCTCCCACCAGTAAATGATGGTCAAACACAATGAATAACTAGATAATTGCAGTTTATTAACATCAAAGTTGTCCTGGTTCAAACCTTCTCATTTCTACCTGACAAGCAGGCTTACAAAGCACTAAATGTAACTCCCTCATTTAAAAGTAATTCAAGTCTTAACTGCTTTTCAAGGGACTATGAGGGGAAAGGGCTGTTCCCCAGATACTGGAAAAGCATAAACCTGCCCTCAGTAACAGGAAATAGGAGAAGACAGCAAGCACACAGTATCCAGTGATTCATGATGTAGCCCAGCTTTTCTCAAAGTGGGGTTCAAGGCCCAGTGCAGAACTCCCTGGGAGCACATGAAAACTTCATGCCCTGGGCACTATGCTCTGTCTGGAGCTTCAGACTGTCTGGAGTTGCAGCCCAGGAATCAGAAGTTTTAATGTGATAGCCACTGTCAGGGACTCTCCAGAGAGCTCCCGCCTGTCGCAGTTCACATTTCCACCACAAGGGGGACAGGGGGAAATGAGAGCAGACAAAACGGCAGTCCTTTCAGCCTTGCAGGGTTCTTGAAAGAATGGGACAGGGACAAGGAGAAGGGGAGCCCCTTGGGGTGCAGAGCCTGGATCTGGAGTCCGAAGCCTGGGTCAAACTCAGCGAATCATCACTGTGTGTCCTTAGGCAAGTCTCAGACCCTCTCAAGTCTCAGTGTCTTCATTCATAAAACAGTAATAATGACAGTACCCATCATCCCACATGACTGTTACGTTCATGAGATTGAAGAGTTTATGTACAGCCACCATTAGAAAGCCTGGGTCAGAAAAAGTGCTCAATTAATGAAAACTGCTATTATTAGATATTGTGAATCTGGCTTTAAAGCAATATTGAATATACTGCTCCTTTTCTAAGATGCCATATTGAATAATTTCCCTACTTCCCAAAAATCTCAGGGATACAGTGCCCCAAATTTCATGATCAGAGGTATATACTTGTGAATTTCATTTTTTATATTGGTAGGCTAGGTTTTCAGAAGTAACTCTTGCTGAAAACAATGAAAAGATGCTGGATAAATAAAGAAAACATCATCTTAAAAGCACTGGAGAATTGACTAGATAATGAGGAAATTCCAGGCTAAATGCTGGGGTAAATCCTGAACCTACAGAGGTAAGGGGAATTCCCACAAGCCAAGTCACTTCTGCCCTAAGCATATTTGCTCATCCAGGAAGCCTGAGGTTTAAAAGCCAAGGTCCAACTGGCATAAAAATAGACATATAGATCAATGGAGTAGAGCTGGGAGTATAGAAATAAACAGATGCATTTGTAGACAACTGATTTTGGACAGGGTCGCCAAGACAATTCTCTGGGGAAAGAATAATCTTTTCAACAAAT